GGGGCGCGGGCGGCGGAGTGGGAATAGGGGGGAAACCACCCTGCAGTGGACCAAGACTTGCCTTGCCTCGCCTCCCCCCCTCCACACACGCCATTTCCTGCTGCCGTGTTTACTTCCCGGTTCATCCCTCTCCCGTCACGGGCGAAGCAAATCCAAAGCTGCCTCTGAGTGAAGCGCCCAGCGGGAAGAGAGGAGAGGGTGGCTGTGATTGCGGGAGCCGCGAGCCGCAGGGAGGCTGGAGTTCTCCGCCGGCTGCCTCCCGCCCCGAGTGGCAACCCGCGCCGACGCTGACTGAACCGCCGCTGCTTTTTCTTTTGCAGGTTTACCCGGAGCCCCGCACCGAGAGTGAGTGCCTGAGCAATATCCGCGAGTTCCTTCGGGCTTGCGGCGCCACCCTCCGCCTGGAGGTGAGAACGTGGGCTGGGGTGGGTGGGTGTGGGGGAGATTTATGTAATTGGGGCGGGGGGGATACATTGGGGAGGACTAAGGGTGGCCGGGAGTTAAAATGTGGACTAAGAAAGGAACGCAAGGGAGGAAGCACCGGTACAGAGAATATCTGGCAGTATAAACTTCTCTCTATTTTGTTCTTTTTATTCACTTTTTCCCTCCTTTCCCTGAGTGTGCTGCCATGATTTGTACCCACAAAGATATCTAGCAAGCACATCGTATTTATTTGTAAGTCTCTTTTCCTGTTTTCTTTGTTGTGAGTCCCCCCCACACACTCTTTTCTATGGCTGCAAACACAGTGTAATGCTTCTGTGATCAGGCCCCAAGCATGGCCACCTCCCCTTCATTGGGGAGGGCTTTCATTTAGGGATACACAGAATTCAAGTTTGCTAAGAAGCTGACATTTTATTGTGGGTCTGGTAAGCCAAGGTGAATAAAAATCAGTTGCCGTAAGAAAATGAAATCAGATTTTTAACATTGTGAGGTAGTAGTTACAGTGTCAGACTATGTTCCCCACTCTGCTATGAAAGCTTGCTTGGGCCGGTCACACCCTCTCAGCCTAACCTACAATAACAGTGTTATTGTGAGGATAAATGGAGGGCAGGAGAACACTCTTAAGATGCTTTGGATCCCCATCGGGGAGAAAGGCGTGGTATAAAGGAACACACTTTTTATAATTTCAATTAAATAACTCTCCTGTGGTTTAACTTCATACTTGAATGTAATACAGATTCCGTGCAGAATCTTTTGGGATGTGACTTCGTATTGAACAAAGTTAAAACTTGCTTTTTAAATAAATGGATAAAATCATATATATATATTTTTCTGTCCGAGATATTCTATACACAATTGGTTATGTGTTTTTCTTAGGCCTCTACAAATCCACTTCTCAGGAGCAATTGTCCCTTTTGCTTGAGGGCCTTTGGCTAAGCATGAAAAAAAAAAACCCACATCCCCTGCCTTAACTCTGTAGGGGGAAGAGAGAGAGATGTTTCGTATCATCTGGGAGAAATACAACTGACACTGAAATTCATGCTCTTTTTGCCTAATGTAATGTAGTCTGTCTGTTCCTCCCACCCTGATGCCCTGTTTCTGGAACACATAAGACTTGTAGCAGCAAGAGTATTAATGACGACCACAAATTATGACTAGCTAATAAAATGAATCAGAATATATGGACCCTGAATATGTATAATTACTCAGTTAATGAGTATTTAGTCCCTGTCAAGCCAGCAGTATGAACATTTGCCTTTGTGCCTGATAACTGTCAGGCTTTTTTCCCCTGGAAACTGCTGGCAGGTTTCGAACAAGTGATCTTCTGTAGTGCCAGAGAGAGAAAGAGCCAAACAGAAATGTTTCGTTTCCCTGGTGCTCCCCCTCTAAGCAGATATAAGCTAGTAGTGCAAAAGGCTTTTTATGCATCCAGGTAGCATAAAATACTTTATTTTGTTGAATACATATGTGTTTAGATTTTTATAAGAGCCAATTATTATACATGATTGTTCAGGAAACGGATGAATTAGAAAGTGGGAGATTTGATTTAAATCCCTTTATTTAAACTGTCCTTTTGCTGTGCTGACTTTAAATCACTGTGTGTATTACATTTGATTTTATGTTATTTATGCTGATACTTTGTTATTTAAACCAGTACTCCCCTAGTGAATGGGGTCGGGTGGGATGGGGGGTGTCTTCCAGGTTTTGCATTTCTGTCCTGCCCTGCAAATGACCTGTGCTGCAGAGATGCTCCAGCAGTACAGTACTTGATCTTTTTCTTTGTTCTTTATTCTGTCCTCCTCATTGGTGGCTGGAAAACAATGGAGAGAGACAGATTAAGAATATGCTGTGTAAATTTTATATGTTTCACGTATATCCTGTGTTTTCAGAAATGTATGTACATATCAAAACCAGTGTCATTCTGAGTCCAGACAGCAGCTTCCCTCGGACAGTGATATTAAACAGGAAATGATGGGGGAAAGCTGCATTTGTGAAGAGGTATCAACTCGTGTAGATGTTGGAGGGCTGCTGTTACAAATCTGGCTTATGCTACCTGCACAGGTCTTGCTAGTCTGGATCAGCATATGGATTCTCATTTTCTCCTTGGAACTTTCTGGTGCTTGTCATGTTGACGTAGCCTGCCTAACGAGTGCAGATGCCTTTATCTTAAAAGTGTCGTCACACTTTAAACTACATGTCTCCTGGAGGTCTGAAGTTGGCAGTTACCTGAAGTCGTTGGTTGTCGCGTGTTATGATGGTAGGAAGGAATAGGCATAGCCGCTGTCAGATTGGCCGTGCACAGTCCATATGTTCTCCAGGTGTTGTGCCCCAGCTGTTCTCCTGAACTTTTGACAGAGACCTGCTGAGGTAGGCAGCAGTTTTAGTGGTTGAAGTCTAATATAACAAGCCTGTCCCTTCCTGAGGCATATAAAAAAATAGAATCCCCCTTTGGGCTAAGAGCTTGCAGTCTCTATCAGAAATTCTTCTGTAGTGGATGATAAAGTAAGTGTTCTGAAAGTGAAATTTTCAGTGTTGTGTCTGCAATTGTCTTATGATGAATAGATTATCGGATGCTTTTGTCTGTATTTGTGATCATATCTGAGTGGGGGCTGACGCAGGTGTAGCTAGTACCACGTGGAGGCTCCTTGCAGTGATTTCCTTGTGGCGTTCCTCTGCATGTGGCCAGTGGTTCATCAACAACAGCTTGATAGCCAGTGTGGGGTAGTGGTTAAAGTGGGAGAGTTCAGATCCCCACTCTGCCATCAAAGCACGCTGGGGGACCCAGTCAGACACACTCTCAGCTTAAACTACCCCACAGGATTGTTGTGAGGATAAAATGGAAGAGAGGTGTATTCCGCTTTTGGTCCACATTATGGAGAAAATATGATATAAATGAAGTAAATAAAATCAAAGACTGAAGTTTTCATTGTAGATGAATTTCGAGGTGATCTGAAGGAATGTGTCAAATAGTCATGATATCCTTCTGGTTATCATTACCAATCATGAGGCAGGGATCCTAGCAAAATCTGTGATTTTCGAAAGTTCCGTGCAACCCTCATTTCCATTGCTCTGTGTTCCTGAATATATAGCTGAAAGTGACACACAGTATTTCTTCATTCGGTTGCCTCCTGCCTCATGGGTTAATCAACTGTAGCTAGTTTAACCAGCTCTCTATCTAACCTGGCCAGCGTTAAAGATCCTCACTGATGGAGACTGTACCACAATGTTTTACTGTCCTGTTTTTTGTCTTGTTCCTGGCAGCCTGTTGCTTATCCTTAAAAGGTAAAGGTTCCCTTGCTCGAAAGCCAGTCGAATCTGACTCTAGGGTTGCGGTGCTCATCTCCGTTTCAAAGCTGAAGAGCCAGCGCTGTCCAAAGACATTTCCGTGGTCATGTGGCCGGCATGACTAAACCACAAGGCGCACGGAACGCTGTTACCTTCCCACTGAAGTGGTACCTATTTATCTACTTGCAATTTCTTGCTTTCGAACTGCTAGGTTGGCAGGAGCTGCTTATCCTTAACCTTCTGGTAATTTATATACCGCTGTCAGATTCTAGGGTTGTAACCACTGGTCACTGGTCACGGTAGAAGTCTCTGTAGAATGCTTCTTCCTTTGTGGATATTTCATAGCCCTTTGCTGAACATCCAACTTACTTTTTTTTTTTGTATGAAATTTAAACTTTTTCCTTGCAGCCCACTCTTACGCACGTTTACACAGAAGCAAGTCCCACTGTTTTCAGTGAGATGTACTCCTAGATAAGTGTGTATATATTGTAGCCTCACTGATGAGATAGAAAAGAAAACGTGCAAGCAGTATTCTGTCTAACTGCTTCAGGCTTCCAGTCTGGGTTGGTACAAAGACACGGGGATGATTGGCAAGCTTCTAATACTTAATTTTAGGCATTATTGAAGTTAATCTAATTATATAGTCCAATTCTACAGAAGTTTAACCCACTGAGTTCACTTCCAAGCAAACATCCATATGATTACAGTCATAGACTTAAGTTACTGTTATTTACTTTCAGTGCCTCTGCCCTTATCCCAGATTCCCACGCTCCTATTCTTAAGTTCCCCTCTCAGCTTCTTCAGTCTTTGAAGGCCATACGTGCATACTTGCACACTTCAGATAATTTTGGTTGCTGTCCTTTAATGTCTTCTCTGTGCCTCTGTGGAGATATGGGAAGTAAAGCTGAATGCAACCCACCAATGAAGGGCTCACTAATATAGATTAGAACGGAACAAGTATCTCCTGTGTCTGATGTGTAATTCTTTAGCTAGTCCATCCAAGCATGGTATATTCTTTGTTTTTTGGTAATTTTTTGTGTTGTTCATATGTGTGTGTGTCTGTGCATGTGATTTTGTGCACCTGGAAGTAATGGCGACCTCTGGGGGCTTGGAGGATACCCAGAGAGGTGGCTGAATAAAGCCTGCCCCTGCATCCCACCTCCGGTATTCCAAGAAGGTCTCCCATCTTAGTACTTGCCAGAGTCGACCCTGTTTAGCTTCCGAGCTCTGACGGGATTGGACTTGCCTGGGCTATCCAGGTCAGGGCCAAGCGTGGTGCATTCCTTTTTGGCAGTGATGCTAGCCTGCTGACTCAGAGTCAACTTATTGATGAACTGTCCACCCCTCCCCCCTCTTTTCTCTGTGCTGCTCCTTAGAACAATATCTTTTCTGAAGCTTGCCAGCTTTGCCTTGGGTTAGTGAAAGTAGTGCTGGCTGTGAACTGAAAGCTGTCAAGTGCTAATACCTGGCAAATGTGGTTTTTTGCGTAGTGATCTTGAAGGCAGCTACTGAGTTTTGCTCATTTGATCAGTTGTACTTACATTGCTTCTATATGAGAACACTACACACGACTATAGCTTTGTTGCAAACTTGTTGAAACAGGCCTATGAACAAGTAGAAATGTGAGACAATTGCACCTTGATCATTATTTACTCAGGGAGAAAGCCCCATCTGTGCTTAT